TATATTATCTGACCAATAGGAATGTGCTTTTGGGGGTGAGCACTATGTCCTGGAAGTCCTGGGACATACGGTTATTACACCTTGGATTAGTGGGGCTTGTCAGGTATGAGAAGGGAAAAGGAGGGAAGCAGGGAAGAGAGGACAAGATAGATGGAGTGTGAGAGAGGATACAGATATTCTCCAAGGATGCAATGTTTCAAGATATTTTGGATCTCACATGTGTAGGAGTTATGTCCCATTCCGCTCTGTTACAGCGAAGAAGTAACAAAAATCTGCTTCCTGTGGTGAGAATTTTTAAAAGTTTATTTATCTTTTACTTTATTTTTTAAAAAGATTTATTTATTCCTACAGAGCTGGGGTACAGGCCAGAGGTGTGGGAAGTGAAAGGATTCATCAGAGACAGAGTGGGGAACAGAACAGGCAGATTGACAAAGTACACTGCTGAGGGGAGCAGTGGGTAAGACAGGAGAAGTCTGCCATGCCATGTGGGTCAGCTCCCTGGCTGGGGATAGAACTCACGCTGCAGTGGTTGCAGCTAGCTTTGTAGTGCTGTGCTTTAACCCACTTGCCACCAGGGAGGGCTGTATGGTGAGAATTTGATGCATATTGCCTGCAATTAACATCTGAGGATGGTAGGAGAAAATAAACAAAACTGATCAAGATAATATATTTTCTTGCTAAATGTTTTATTTGCAAAAAAGTCCTTGTTGACAACTAGGGATGAGTAAAATGTTGGTGATACTTTCAAAAACAGGATAGCAAAGGTCACTGCATAATCTGCATTTGACAAGACTAAAAACCTGACCAGGGCAGTTTTTATTACTGTTAGCTTCAGAGGGATATAAGCCCAGAAGAGAACATCTCACTGCTTCTAGCTGTTACCCAGACAAGGAGGCTGGAAGTCAGGGGCTTTGAGGAAGCAGTCTTAGTCTTAGGATTCTGGCCTGAGCCCTTCTGATTTTCCTGAGTTGAGGCTTAGGACTCTCCACCTCACCTCTCAGTATTTTAAGGCACTGACACAATCCCCCATAGATGGGGGAGGACCATAGGAATCTGGTGGTCCAACTTGTTTTGACAAAAGGTTAGGAAATACAAATTCACATTTTGTTAATGGCAAGATTCAGTAGCTAGAATGTAAAATAGTCTGGTAAAGCAACTCAGCAGTTACTTATGTTCTTAATGTGCTGACTGAATAAATCGGTCTGATTTTTGCTCTAAGGATGGCCTTTTAAGGAACTAGCAAGGTATTATGTATGTTCTTCTTCACTAAAGAATCTCAGATGACAGGACTTTCTAAATACTTGGGACCAGTGAAGGTGGGAAATTGTGGTGTTACACTTCACACTATCAGCCAGTTAAATTTCAAACGCCCGAAGTATCGAATATTAAAATTTGAAACCACACAATTATTTAAAAAAACCTCTGAATACTGGATTCTCTAATGATAGCTCATGATCCAGAAACCAAAAAAGAAAATATGGAGAAATGTGACATGAAAGTCAAAGCAGCAGCCTAAACAAAGTTAACAGGCAAAGGGGACAGTGGGGGAAAGCACTTGCCGCCCCCATTGCTGACAAGGGGTCTCTCTTGGGAAAAGACCAATGACACAGAAGTGGAGTGAGCTGAAGGTATAGAGTTTGCAGGAAAAGGAACACAAATGGCACATAAATGTGCCACTTGTGGTTGGGGCCCACATATTTAAACGACTAAGCCACCACTTTTTTCTATGAAATTAGCGAAGCACCCTTAAGTTTGACAAGATGCTGTACAGAGGAAGCTACAGTGATACAGGCCCACTGGCCCCTTGCCATTGGGAGCCCACCAGAGTGAGCAATTTGGTGCCATCCATCAAAATTACAAAGGCATATAATGTACAATGTCAGACAAGTTGTGGCATGTATCACACACAGTTATTCACCGCCACAGTATAGAGAAACCAAACAAAAAGTCAAAGACAAACGTGAAAGCCAACCCTTGAAAACTGACACTGACCACAGATCTGCCCCTTCCAGCAGAGAAGTAAGAATGTGGCAGGGTGGGGCAGAGCTGAATGGACTATACTGAAGAATGAAGAGTAATCTGGGGATGGGAGCACACAAGTGACTATACTGTCAGAACACGAACAAACATGTGAAGCAGTAGTTCTCCAATAAAAATTGAAACACACACACACACAGGGACTGGTTACATGAGATAACACGTCTACACAAATGAACATGATGCTTCATACAACAAGCTGAGAAAACCACATATGCACAGAGAAATGTAAGTGAAAAATGCAAGGCTGTGGTAGTTGTATGTAGTATTTTGCTGTGTAAAGAGATTAAGGGTGTGGGGTCATACTTGGATATAGACATACACACAAACTTTGATATCTGGAGCAAAAAACATCAAATTAGTGCTAGTAGTTGCAGGGAGCAGGGAGCAGGGAGCAGGCTGGGTGGGTGATGCGATAGAGATGAAAGGGCATGTATATACAATTGTAAAATTTGATTTTTGAACATGTCATGTAATTCCCTACTCAAAATTTAAACCAACTTCATTGAGAAATTAAATATTTGCATCTGCTTTTTCTTGGTTTTCCGTCTCCCTTTGTGGGAGACAATCAGCTATCATTTCTTATGGCTGTCGTCCTGCTTTTAGTGGCTCTGTCCACCCTCAGTCTACATAGTCCCGCCCCTTGCATGAGAGGACTGTTTGAGGTAAGCGAGGTTAGCAAAAGGAGCATCCTTTTGTACTGCCCTGCGGTGAACATGCATGGGCTGTGCAACAGCTACCAACAGGGTTGGTATTTAGGCAGTTCTTTGGGATTTTTCCTTGGAGGGTTCCATTCCCCTCACATCTTGCATGGAGATGCAGGCTAGGAGAGCAGACAGAAAGAGACAGATGGGAGCAGAGAGGATGTGCCCCCACACCCCTGCAGCCACCTGACAGAAGAGGGAGGGGCCCCTGGTGTCTCCAGGGGTTTTTAATAGAGCGGAGGAAGATGGAACTGGTCAGGAGGCTGCTGCTGCAGAAGTTCCCGGGGATAGAGGAGGGAGGAGAGGGGGATGTGGGCAGGTGGTCTCTGTACATGCAATCCTCAGGAGGAATGAGGATGTGAACGCCTCGATAGAGGAGTGTGGGCAGGACAGCCAGCTTGAAAGAGTGGAGTTTCTGAGCCCTGTGAGGACAAGAGCTACATTTGGCTCATCTGTTCAGGATGGAAAGTTAGCAAATCATGCCAAGCAGTGAGGAAGGGCACTGCTCATATCTCTGGGCCTGTCCCAACTCGGCCATGTAGCCAAGTAAACTCCCAGAACCTCAGCTTCCTTGTCTTCTCAACAGGGTACACATGTATCTCACACATGAAACATTTTCCATGTGTTTTTTCCTTTATTCTCCACAACAGCCCCACAAAAAGGAACTGTCCTTACACACATTTCCAGATGAGGAAATGGAGGCTCAGGGGACGTTGGTAAGTTGTTCAAGGTCAGAGCCAGGAAAAGGCAGAACTGCAGTTAGAGCCCACACTTCCCTAAGCTAGTGTCTGTTTCAGTTCCCATATAAGAAAAGGCAAAGTGAAAGGATGCGATTTTCTATCAGGTGGATTCTAAAAATACTAGTAGTTCCCCAAGATGGTCCTCCACTCTAGACCTAGGCGGAACTGACTGTGCTTCCCCCAAGCTGCTGGCACTCAGAAGTAGAGAAGAAAACCAGAGGAACCGAGTACTTTGTTAAAAACAACAACAACAACAACAACAACAACAAAAACCAGCCTCTTAGGATCTAAGAGCATTACATCTGTAATGAGCCCATTGCAACATTTTACGGCCAGGTATGTGAATTAGAATTGATCACACTCCACCCAGATATGGAGAGGACACAGAAACTGGAAGTAAATTTATCTTTGTGTTACCCATGAGGGGAAGCTGGCTTTTTAGAGGAACACAGCCCAAAGCACATATTTATAACAACTGGGCATGAAAGTAGGGCGCTGAAGTGATACTGAGATGTGTGTTTGTCTCTTTAAGATCAGATCTTTGAATAGAAAGCTGTGCCGAGGGTTTATCAGGTGGAGTCTTAAAAATGGACTAGAAATGAAAGTTTCATTAAGAAGAGATCACAGGAGGAATAAAAGTATTACCATTATCGGCAGTGACTGCTTTACCCTACAAGGCCAAAATTGCACCCGGCAATGTCCTAGAAGATAGATCCCAGACTTTCTCATTCATCGTCACAATTCGTCTGCTGTACAGTGCACATATCACAGGCAGATCTGATTGTGACGGATGGTTATCTCAGATTTCATCTCAATAATCTGACTCACCCATGACCCATACAGACAAATCAATTGACATAAATATTCTAATGTAAAAATCTATAAATTGAAAGTAATGAAGGTCTACTCACAATATAATATTAACTAGTAAATTAGTCTAATTAGCAATTTAGTACTAAAACATTAATCATCACACTGTGTGTTTTCTTAAGCCCACAGAAATGTTATCAAGGGGCTCAAGTGTGGTGGTAATATTGTTACCTTCACGCCTCCTAAACCGTAAACTCATTTCATGATAATACTTCTCACTAGTCAATATATCTAGAACTCATATACTTTTTTTTTTTTTTTGAAATTGAGTTAACGTAAAAAATTTTCTTATTTTTTAGAAAAAGATCTAAATCATGCAAACATCTGAAATCCTGGAACGGAAATGAATGCAACAGACATATAGACAAATAAACACAAAGCATCCCCAGTATATACCATTCAAGAAAAGAAAGTACCCCCAAACCACAACATAAAGCAAAGCAAGCACACACAGGGCATAGTTTAACCAGTACCAGCAACCTGCAAGCTGTATTGACATGTAAGTTTTACTTCGGGGAGTTTGGGTAGAACAGGTGCATTTCAGTATTGGGCTGTTCAGAGGACTTTAAACTCCATGGCAACAAAACAAAAATCCAGCAAGCCAGTCCCAGCCAAAGAAACACCCCCCTGAAGCTTGACCGCCCCTCACCTGCTCCCCTTCTCTCCTCTCTCCCCAGAAGAAGGCACTTCACGGAAACGTCTGGGAAAGCCCTTGGACTTTATTTTGTTACACCCTCTAAATGGACAAAAAACAAAAGAGAACAGGTGTAGAAGACAGTACTTTGAATTGACCACCAAAAGTTCCACACAAATACCCTCCCCTCCAGCTGACAGAGACACACCCCATCATCCCGCCCTGTTTGCAGCAGTTTCAAAAGAAAAACCCTAAATACAGAGGTGACTGGGGTTCTTGAGCCTATTTCTCTGGAGGAAAAGAAGTACAAAATGGGAACTTGCTCTTAAAAAGCTTGCCTTTACATATGAGAAGCTGTGTTACACACTAAGAGTGGGAGGGAAAGATGCCATAAGCCTAATAATGACCCTTTCCATTCATTTACCTCTTCTTCTGCCTAGGACATGCTGCCCTGGCAGACAGAATGGCCTGAAGTAGCATTAGAATAAATAGAACTTGGCAGGGACCCACGGGTACCATTTGAACCTCCTGCCACAAATTTCTCTGAATATGATGCTGTTAGACAAATCAAAGGTTTTATCTTTTCCCCGTGCATTCCTCTCAATTCTGGACACATTCTCTTCTGATTTACAAGACAGTGGAATAAGTAGGCAAGGTCTCTAAAAGAAGGTGGACTTAATCTGTGATCAGGGTATTACATAGTAAGCCCAGTATTTAGTGTCCCATAAAACCTAAATAGCCATCATCTCTGACTTGGCTTAGGCATTTCAAAGACTTGTCACACACAGATATTTGAGGTGTTTAATTAAATTTAATCTTCAAGCCACCTGGACTACAGGATTTCTCAATGAAGTGATTCCTATTCGTTCTTAACTATGTTGACAGTATAGCAAAGATACTCATGGACACACAGAATCTCTTTTTGGGGAGCCCTGTTGAATCCCATGTAGATTTCTGAATGCAGACATATAACCCCAAAGAACATTTATTATCTGGTGATTTACTTGGTGACTTTTTACTCCATATTTGTCTCTAATACAAGCTTTCATTTGTTTTAATAAATATGAATTCACATTGGGTAAAAGTGCTTGGCAAGGGAACTAAAACTTGGGAATATAATTTAAAATGGGGGGTGGAGGGAGGAAAGAGAGGAGTTTGTGTTAATTCAGAACTTCCTGTCTCCCTCTATTGAGTACATTCTGGAACTACATCAACTGTCCTCAAAACATCACAAACGCTCAGTGTGGCTATGAACATTAATTTGAAGAAATCATGAGTGTGTTGGAGTGTTTTTGCAAATTTTCATAAAAACTTGAAATTTGCAGCTTCCTAAAATATTTAGACTTCTTCTCAACCCTTAGCCCTACTCTGAATTCTGCCAGATTCACTCTTTCAGGAATGTTGGAGCGGAGCCGGCTATCTCTGCAGCTTTTCCTCACACACAATCACAGGCGCTTAAAACTACCACCCGTAAACTGACAACACTTTGCTGAAAAGCAAATGCCATAAAACCAATAACTAATATCTTGAATAATAAGGAGCTACCTGAGCAAACCGACAGAACACACAGTCACTGCTGGGAGAGAGAAGATTCAATTCTGAGTAGACCAAAGAAAGGTGCTGGTTCTGTAGCATAGACTACTGAATACGGGGTTTCCCTTTCCTGAAAAGTGAGCTTCCTTTAAATGTATCCAACCACTCCTTCCTTACCAGAATGGATCTGTTTTTTTCAAGGACCAGGAGTATGTTTAAATGACAACCTTTAGCAGTGAATCTCTCCCTGCTTTTGTCTAATGACTATGTGTTAGCCCGTTCCAAGCGCTTCGACTGGCATCTCAGGGCCAGCTCGACAGCAGGGGGCCGGTTACTATAACAACTGACAGCTCTAGTGAATTCTGAAAGGCCCCCAGTAGCCATTTGGGAAACAGTTATTGAGCAAAAAGTTGCCTGGGATCGGCAGCATTTGCTGTCATGTGACCCAAATCTCCTTGCACAAAGTTGCAGAGAAAGAAAAAAAGATGCCCACCTCCAGGAGGAGCTGGGGCCCTCAGAGGGCTCCCAGCCCCCAGGCCTGTTAGCATCTCAGAGCAAGACAGTTTAACACTGCAGTGCCATCACAAACCCAATTCCTCTGGGGCAAGCCATGTTTTGGCATCATAAAGATACTTTTGCTCTGCCCTCTAGTTTGACACACTGTCAGGTTTTAGAGAGCTAGATTATAAAATGATTTCTAATGATTAAAACATTTTTTTTTTGAAATAGGGCTGCAGACCCAGGCTCCAGAAAAAGATGAGTGACATGGGCAGTCACCAGTTTAAAGAAAAAAAATGCCCAGAGTATTTGTGGTTCCAGAAGCTGTCTGTTTGCAGAAAAGATAACAGTAATCACATCAAGCCACCAGAGAGTGACTGAGAAGCTCAGATTTTTCTAGACTTGAGAAAGGTTGAATACCAACATACCTCGATTTCCACTCTCTCCCTCATGCAACCTACAGTACAGCTGGCCTGACCAGCTCTGTACAAGCAGAAGTCCTATAAAAGCGGACTTCAGGCCCTCCCTGGTGGCGCAGCGGGTTAAAGCACTGCACTAAGAAGTTAAAGCCACTTCCGCATGAGTTCGATTTCTGCCTGCCCCGGAGGCGACCACATGGTGTGGCAGACCTCTCCTGGCCTGTCCGCTGCTCCCCTCAGCAGTGTATTTCATAGATCTGCCTGTTCTGCTCCCCGCTCTGTCTCTGGTGAATTCTCTCTCTGCCCCAGCACCTCTGGCCTATACCCCATTTCTGTATGCATAAAAAAATAAAATCTTTAAAAAAAAAAAAGCGGACTTCATTTTTATGAAGAAAAGGCAGTTTTTAAAAAAAGATTTATGTATGCATATAAGAACTGGGGTACAGGCCAGAGGTGTGAGGTGGGGGGGGTGAGTCGGGGTGCGAGGATTCACCAAAGACAGAATGGGAGAACAGGCAGACTGACTGAAATACACTGCTGAGGGGAGCAGCGGGCGAGTCAGGAGAGGTCGGCCATGCCATGTGGGTCAGCTCCCTGACCAGAGATCCAACTCATGCTCAGTGGCTGCAGATAGCTTAATAGTGCTGTGCTTTAGTCCACTGCACCACCAGGGAGGGCCCAGACAGGGCAGTTTTATGGCCTTTCTCCTCTGGCAATACTGAGCATACTGCTCTGATATAGTCCTCTCTGCCATGAGCATTTGTGATACTCTGGCCTATAAAAATTTCAGTCAAACATTCCTTTCTCCATGAAACCTTCCCCTGCTTTGTCTTCCTCCTGTCCCACTCAAGATGATGTGGAGGTGAGGGGTGGTGTCAAGAGTCCCTCCCAGAGCTCAGTCTCCCTTCATTACCACTGTCATCCGAGAGGGCAAATTCACCCACTGCTGAGCCCAGGGAGGGACCTGTGGGAGGCTTTGGTTGGCTTTATCCAGTCCCAGGGAGTGTGCAGGAAATGTAGTCAGCTCAGTCAATTCATTGCTAGAACCCAGACAACTGGATTACAATCTTCCTATTCCCAGAATTAATTCCAATTTTTAAGAAACAGTATTATTAGCTACATAAAACAATATGAAGGTCAGCAGTTCTTGATATCTATACCTGCTCATCTTCATTAACCCACAAGCTCCTGAAAGATGGGAAATATCTTTTCCTGGCTAGGTCTCTAGTACCAAGCACAAACTGGATGTGTAAGAAACATTTCTGAATGAGAGAATGAAGAAAGGAATGGGCCTGGCATAAGAGTTCATAGGTCAATAAACTAAAACATAATCCAAGGTCTGTTTACATACATTAGCTATGCAATTCCCAAGCTATGCAATTCCCTTCTGGAAACTCACTCTTCCACTGGAAAGAAGTGAAGTTGTCCCCACCATTTTGGCTCCCACATATGGCTACTGTGAGGGTTACATAAGGTAACCCGTGCTTTGTCTTCATTCAGCTGTAATTGGTTGTTACTAGCACATGCTGTCAGTTCAGTCATGTGCAAGGGAGAAATTGTTCCCACTGCACCTGCCACTTTTATGACATTGCTGGTGTGGAAGAGGGGCAAAGGCCTAAACCACTCCACTCATTAGCCATAGCAAGCGAACTTGAAGTGCTGCTGTTAGAGCAGATGGGCAGGATGTGTGCCCAGGGTCACAGCGTCCCAGTTTCTCTGTAGCTACTGGGCTTGCAGGAGGCACCCAGAGCTCCCTGGAGCACACATGGGCAGGCATTCTGGAAGCCACAAAGGGATGTCACCACAAATCTACCCTTGACACACAATCTTATGCGTTTTGTCAGAGTCTCTATCATGTCAACACGAACTCCCACACATTTGTGGTTTGAATCCTTTCCTGTTTATTACACTGTATTGAGCTGAACATCCAAGAAGAAAAATATTGCGATGTCAACAAAACTCACTTGGTTTAATGAACAGCATTCTTAATGAGGAGGCACCACCACATGCAAAATTTTGAAAAATCTAATGGAGAAACTTTTTTGATCTGCCCATGAGGCTAAACTGGTGGAATGATTTGCCACAGAACTTATGGACGGCTCCATTATATACTGATAAGGGACATGGATTTTTTCAAAAACTTTTGCGAGGCCACATACCAGACTTCAACTAACAAACCTGGGCCAGAATTTAAAATCCCCATGTAGAGCTCCAATCTTTTGTTCCAGAGTCCCTCTTGTTAGATTAGCCCTACTTGAATCTGAGAAGTAAAGCTGTTCTACACTGTGGAGAGTTCTAGTCAAATCTAGAATTATGGTCAGAAGCTCAACTAGTCATTAACAGGTTGTGACAGTCGAGATAAAAAATTAGTCTGTAGCACACCTGAAGTGTACCTGATCCTATGAAATTTTCTTCTACATGATTTAATAAATCCAAGCCATGGAATTTTGGGGTACACAAACATGTATTATCAACACTGGCTGTGGAAAGGAGTAAGCATCTCCACGCAGGCTACTCCTCAGGTCGTCAAAATAATGTCATGATTAACACAGTTGAATAGACTGGGTTCAAATCCAAGTCCTGCCAAAGATTAACACCATGTTTTGGACATGTTGTCTTGTTTTACTGGACCTCCATTTTTTGATCTGCAAA